ATTGGTCAACCGCTTAGAGATATGTCGGAAGCGTCTTGCCCTTTAGCCTATCATGTGCAATGTGTTGGAGGGCTAGCCAATAGAAGCCAATAGAATAATGATATCACTAACTGAAGTAAAAAAAGGAGTCCAATAGAGGTGATTCAGGCAGGGTGTGTGTGGGAGAAAAATTCCCAGGGATGACAGAGCCACATCAAACATATGATATTGGGAACACACGGCACCATAAAGACCGCCCGTTCAGCCATTAGCTGTAGTGATGAGTCTGATAGTTGTTTTGTGTCTGTTCTCTGCTACACTCCTGTCAGGCGGTGCTGAGGGCTGAGATGTGTCAGCATTTCCCTTAGCTGTGTTTACACTGTCCTATTTTCCAACACTTTTCCTGATGGTCAACATTTTTTGTGATTGTGGAGATCCTGAGAAACTCCCAAGCAAGAAAGTGTGTTTAGTTACTATGACAACAGGCTATCATGTGTTGTCATGGCATTAGCTTAAGCGTAAGTGAATATTAAACAGTTCCTAACAAAGTGAGTTAGATTGTTATTGGTTTTTGTTTCTGTTGTGATATGTTTGGAAACATTAAACGTATGTAAATGTTGCCTACAAATGTCTGTAAAACATTCTTAAAAACAGTAAACAATGATAAAGTTTGCAGCACCCTTGGGCCCGGTCTTAAGACACCCCAGGGGTGTCATGGCTTTGGTCTCTGATGCAGAGTATTTTAATTATTATTATTTTTTTTAATGAGGAGCATTTACAAGTATACAAGACAAATAGCAAAATATACATGGAGACAAAAAAAGAAAAGAAAAACAGTGTGTGTGCGTGCGTGCGTCTGGGGGATTGGACAAAAAGAGAGTAATAATTGACAAAATTATAATTAAAACTAGAGAATGCAATACCTGAAGAAATTGCTAGTGGGAATGCTTTATGCTGAAAGGCTGACGCTAAACTGCTATGCTGAAATGTAATGTGTAAGAAGAAAGTGAAGAATTTCGATTGAAATTATACATGAACACTGGGGGCTTGAATGTGTGATGAGAGAAGAAAAGAAAGTAAAAAGGCTTGGAAAAGCAGCAGAATATTTGAACTGCAAACTTCTGAACTAACTTGATGGCGAATGATCTGTCGCCATGGCAACAGCATTTGAAAAAATCTCAAAACTGTCCCGTAGATGTCTTCACGGCTGGACTGTTAGCACACTTGTGAAGTTTGAGCACTTTTTGAACATCATTTTCATAGGAGTTATAGCGACATCATGTTTTATGGCGAGGGATGCGTTTCCATGGAAACGGCATATGGTGGGATCTTAGAATTGGCGTAGAGCTGTTGAGGCATGGATCGGTGATATACAAGTGAAGATTGGGGGACGATTGGACCGTGTCGATGGGACATACAGCCACATCGTGTTTCATGGCGAGTGGTCCGTCGCCATGGCAGTGATATTTGATGACACCCCATACTACGCTTAGATGCGTTGATGGCTGCATCGTTACCAAACCTGTGAAGTTCTAGGCTGTTTGGAGTTTTTTCACTGAAGTTATGAGAAAACCGTGTTTCAAGGCGAGCATTGTGTTACCATGGCAACGGCATTTGAAGAAATCTGAAAACTGTCCCGTAGATGTCTTCACGGCTGGACTGTTAGCACACAGCTATCTGAAGTCTGCTGCTCTGAGCATGTCAGTTGGAGTGATGACCTCATCGTGTTCCATTACATAGGTGTTTATAGTTGAGCTAACGAGCACTGTAGAGATCAAAGGCTTCATTGTTCTGAATGAGAGATAAACCTCTTACATGTGAACGTTTTGTGGAAGAACTGTAACAGATATCATTCAGAACAATGAAGCCTTTGATCTCTACAGTGCTCGTTAGCTCAACNCAGATCTACATGAATCACACAAACGACTTATTTTGGATTCAAAAAGGTGAATTTCGCCGAAAGGTGACAAGTTTGCATCACTGAGTATTTATATAGCACCAAGACTGGCTTGAAAATCTGAAATATATGGAAATATCACTCTTCTCAATTTATCTTTTGTGCCTTTTCTTCTATTTTTTTGTCCATGTAAATGGTCTGTGAAGGCTAAAATCACAAAGTTCAAGCCTATTACAGGCAATATTCTCATTAGGATTCTCATCACGTTATGTTTGCTGAGCATAATACCCCATACTTTTAAACAAAAGGAAATCGTTTAAGTCACTAAGTCTGGAATCAGAGACCTGAGTTCCTGCATCGATTGGACTCCTTTGTTGCGTGTGACATCACTAAGTAACCTCGCGCTTCCATTGGCTAGTCTTCCAAAACATCGTCTGGATAGGCTAAGGGCCGGGACATTTCTAAGCGGTTGACCAATCACAACAGAGCGGACCAGCTAACCAATCACAGCACACTGGGCTCTGGTTTCAGACAGAGGGTGAAAAGAGGTGCTGCAGCACAGGCAGTATGAGAACAATAAAGAGCTTTTTTTCAGCATTAAAGCATGTAAACAAGTCCCAGTAGAGAAACACAAGAAAAATACAAACCAGAACATTAGCATAATAGATCACTTTTGAATAAAAAGGACCAATTGTGTGGCTGCCTGCAAAGAAAATATGCAGTTTTCTAGTTAATCACATCAGCCTAGTGAGCCTGAAGGCACTAACAGTCTGTGTTTCATTCCCAGCCAGTCTCTGCTGAGTGACTTTTACTTTCTTTCAAAATCCAGAATGAATTCACCAATCACACATAACATTCTAAACGGTGAGTATGGATGTGTGAGGCCGCATGTTCATCACAGATTTCTTTGGAACAGGTCCCTGCTCCCTTGAAACTGAAGACCATACAAGTACGAGACAAGCTCTTTCTTATTGTTTGCCATGTGCTTCTTTTAACTGCGAAGGCAAATGCCTCAATCGTCACTCGCACACAGCAGTCAAGGGGAAATGAGGAGAGAGATCACATTGCACATTTTGTCATGTTTCAAAAACTGCTCAAAAATTAATCTCCTCAGGGAACTCAGGTCTCTGATTCCAGACTTAGTGGCTTAAAGGATTTCCTTTTGTTTAAAATGCAAAGTGTGTGGGGTATTATTCTCAGCAAACATAATGTGATCAGAGTCTTAATGAGAATATTGCGTATTATTATTTTAGTCCGCGTACATTTTAATTACAAATGAGGAATTTATCTTTTTAACACACTAAATACATAAAGGGAACAAAGAAGTAAAGTACTAACACAAGATCGGACTTAATCTCAGATAATGATCATGTTTGTCTTTGGAAGTTGGAAAGAGCTTTTTAATTCTCTAGTATTTGTCTGGTGTGTGATGATGCATTATGGTAAAGATCATTTGTGTTGTCGACCCAGATGATAAACCCTCATCGTCCTTACTTCCACTGAAATTGTAAGCAATAATAGACATAGACATGATTCATAATATAACAGTTTTCAGAGGAGCATATCCTTCGCTTTTTATGAATTTCATCTCTTGCAAATATATCCTAAAGTTCATAAAGATCATCCAAATGGTGTTTAGGGCATAGATGATTCTAGTCCTATAAGGTATCTGCCAATTCCAAGGCCCATAACTATGTTTACCTACCATATTGAATACATATGTATCTGACTCGGCTCTTTCTCATGTGTCTTCCACTTGCAAGAGGTTACCTACTCAAAATGAGGGTCTCTAAGGAGAGGGTGTACTATATAAAGCCCCTTGAGGCAAATGTGTGAGACTGGGCTGTGTAAATCAAATTGACTTGACTAGAAAGCTTCTTATGAAATCGGTGTGCCAGACACAAGGCATAAGAACACTTGAAACAGACAAAAAAAGGCTGAGGGGGACAATACTCAATAGAATGCAGGAGAGGAACCATTGGATTTTGCTTTATTTAAGCCAAGGGCTTTCCAAAGTCAGAGACTGGAGGCCTTCCAACACTGATACATAAAAGACGTTTGTCCTAAAGCATTTGTTAGCTTATTATACTCTGGGAAAATGGGCGGAGAAACAGTAAAATTACCTAAAACTACTCGAAATAGGAACTTCTACCTAATAAGACACACCTTCAAGCCTTTCTATTTCGTCTTCTTTTGATAACTTATGTCATATTTTTTCACTTTGATTGAATGAGTCTCCCCTGAAACTGTTTGCGAAGCGTCCACCTTTAAAGGTCACCTATTATGCAAAGTATTTTTTCCTGTCTTTCTTACATGAACATGTTTCCCCTCTGTGTTAAGAGATTTCGCAAGTTTCAGGAAAAAAGCTTCTCTCACTTTTTGTCCTGATCCATCAACATAAAACCTGTCCGAAACCTAGCTGATCCGATTTTGGCCACTTTGTGATGTCACAAGGTTTTTTTGGCTTGTGCAACGATTAGCCAATAACCAACCAAGGTAACCACCCCCCCCCCCACCTTATCACCTGAATCTCCTCCTAGAGCACCATTGTGGTATTTTAAACCAAACATTTCACAGAGGCGCGTAGCCAGCGACGGCTCGTTTGCATTTAAAGCTACAAACACAGAATCAGCACTTTTGAAACAGGGCTGAAAAAGAGGGGTTTATGGGATGCTACAATGGGTGATCTGTTTGGTATTTGGAGCCAAACACTTCAGAGACATGTTTTTTATATATCTGAGACCTATAATACATTGTTGAAAAATAGTATAATAGGGGACCTTTAAAACCTTCTGTTTTGGATAATATGTAGCTTAATATATTCTAGGAAAGTGGGGGAAAAAACTGTAAAATTACCCAAAACTACTCAAAATAGGAATTTCTACCTAATAAGACACACCTTCAAGCATTTTTATTTGGTCTTCTTTTCATAACTTATATCATATTTGTTCACTTCGATAGAATGAGCCTCCCCTGAAACAGTTTGCAAAACGCCCACCTTTAAATCTTTCTGTTTTGGCTGATATGTATGGATTAATTGGTAGACATATCAGGACATTTCTAATACCTATTATCGATATTTATACATTGTAGATTTGATGATGACAGAGTTTAGAAACATAACTAGAGGTGAGAGCTTACCGTCGAGACGTAAATACTGGAAGTTGCGGTAGCTGAAGTAGTCCTCCATGATGGTCATGAGAGTGGTCATTTGGCAGAACAGCAGCACTCTGTGGTTGGTGGCAAGCAGTTTGGGCAGGATGCGATCGAGGAGCTCAAACTTCCCAGAAGCTCGATACAGTTCCAGCCTGGATGGGGGTAATGAGGTAAAACCATAGACTGGTAAAACGTGTCGCACTAGTCATCATTACGCCTGTATTGGTTATAAAGTATGGCATCTATTTTGACAGCTGTATCAATTGGCCAATAATGCCCTGAAGTTCCTTTTTGTTTGGCAACCTCTTTAATATGTTTCTGTGACATTGGTGTTATTCCATGCTAGCTTTGATCTTGGTTTTTGTGTTTAATGTTTCTTGTTATAGTTTAAAATGTAATTGTGCTTTAGGCTTTCTTTTTTTGCCTTTGTAATTGCTTTGTGCTGATTCTCTCCACCTGTGTGTGATTGTCTGATGGAGATCACCTGCTGCCCTTGGGTGTTTTACTGCCTCCTCCAGCTGTGTCTTGTCTTCGTGATTAGTCTTGTGTGTGTATATGTCCGTTTTCCCTAGTGTTCCCTGTCAGTTTGTTATCAACCTTTCCCTGATGTGGTTCAGCCTGTCACAGTACCTGGTTTCCTGTCCTGTCCTGTTATTCTGGATTTTCTTTGTGTACCCTCTAGTGTTGTCCAGGGGCCTGTACTACGAAGCTGGTTCAACCTAACATGGATATGTTTGAGTTAGCCGGTTGGCCTAATCCAAAACACACGCGCTCTCGCTAAACGGTACTACGACACGGGTTATCAAGTGGATCGCTCAAGCCAGCCGTGCCCTATCTAGTTAGGTGCGCGTTCACATGAAAGGGGTGGTATTTGGAGCATTCGACCAATCACAAACATGGACAAGCGTTTACCTGATACCACCAACGATATGTACTCCCCTGTTAGCATTTATTAGCATTTAATAACTGGTTGGTTCATAAGAAACTATTCTCTAAGCAAATATAAGTCTTTACTTTCGTATTAATCCCCAAGTATCAATCCTTTTTATGGGCACCCAGAAGTAAAGGCTGGTTTAAAAAAAAGATAAGACAATAAAGTTAAATTCAGTTTAGTGGGAGAAAATATATATTTTTAACTAATACTGTAGGATAATAAACACTTACTTAGTGTTTTTCAAAATGTGAAATGTTTTATTGTGCCCATAAATGCTTCATATGGTACGTTAAAGTAAAGTTTTAGCAAAATACTTCAAACCAATTGTTGGAGGCTGTGCTCAGCCGGGAATCAGTTATGTTAGCATTATGCCATGGTCCCGGCTGTGCCTCATTTCTCCCACACACCTTTTCCCTGCTCTGTTTGCATTTTATCGTGTTTACCTGAATCCATTATTACTGTGTTTTGTGCCTCAGGTTAATTCCCTTCCTCTCTCGCACAGCGCCTCGTCAAACTGCCTCTCTATGATACTCAGTGAGCCTCCACTCTGACTAGTGAGATTAATCTTCGCTTTCAACGCTTGGCTGACCTCTTCCCAGGTTTATGTTCAAAGACTTTAACTCAGAAAATATTACAATGTGGTTTTCAAGGAGGGTGTTTTTTTGTACAACTTACCCACTGATGACGCCATTTGGAAAGCCCAAGTGCTCCGAAAAAGACTCCTACAACAGAGAATATTAACTAGTTTAAATAAGGGGAACAATATCACATATTTAAATGTAGCTGACCTAAAGATAACCTTCCAAACTATTATCTGAGCTGTTTGAAAAGAAAGAGACAGGACTCTATAAATTCAGACTGAATTTTAGTCTAGTTAAATCTGTATATTTACAATTGTTTTCGTATGTAGAACTTAAAGTATAGCCCAGCAAATATCAAACTAAAATACAATGATTTCAGAAAAAGAAAAAAAACTTTCGTTACGACAACATCCCAGAAACAAATGTTTACCGGCAGCCATTTGGATTAATATGACAAATATTCCTTGACAAACAAAACCCATATCTTTGAAGGTAATGAATATACAATTAGCTGACAATTAGAATATGTAAATGAGAGAGACATGCACAAGCGGAACCCAGTGTCATATTTTCCACTGTTAGTATTCACAGGCTTTTAACACTCACCTCAATGTGCTGGAAGATGTAGGGATGGTTGCAGATTTTCTTCAGCTGCATGATGGTGTTCATCAGGGTCTTTGATCCTCCTTTGCCCTTGGGACAATTGAAACAAATAAAATAAATGAAACGCCAGATCAAAACAATGATATTTGTCTTGATGTGAGTTTAAACTGGAAATAACAGTTGGTCTGTCAGCGTTTGTGACTGATTAACAGCTGCCTGCAGTGGTAAAACTGAAATATGAGATTGGTAAGAGTTCACCAAATGTGTTGGGAGTTGACAGCTAAAAAATAACATGAAACTGTAAAGCTCTTCAAAGTCGAGGGCAGATAGTGATTCTGCTACTTCTTTCACATTGTCGCATAGCTTTCATGTTGTTGTTTCATAGAGAGGTGCAGAATGCGTCACAAGGGCTCCCTCGATAAAAATGGATTCTTCTGCCTGGGAAAAAAAAGATGGGATTCTTCCATTGGATCTTGGAGTATTGTTGCACATAAAATCTCTGGTAAACACGTTTAATATACGTAGATGTTTAGTTCAGCAGGATACTCTCCAAATATTAACAAAAAAAAAGTTTATGATATGCTAAAGAGTAAATACAATTCCTAGAAGTAAAAAGCTAACGATAGGCTTTAAACAACCAACACCGTGGTCACATGATTGATGTTTTTAACTAACGTCACCACCTCTAAGACAGGTAATGGTCAGAGGGATTACGTTTAGTTGTCTCATTTAGTCACTTGGTAGCAACCGCCATTTTTGAGGACACACAGAGGCTTCGGACATTCAGGAGTGGGGTATATACTGATGTCTTTTATGGAATAAAAACATGGACATTAAACTATGCATTTAATCAAAAACAAGCAAAAATAATTGACTTCAAAACAAGGGAGCCAAAAGTGGTGAAATGCTAACTACAGTAACTTCTTGATTTAAGGACTCATTTCCTTATCCTTTAACGCCCACATAAAATCAATTTCAAGGACCGCCTACTTCCATCTACGTAACATTGCAAAAATCAGGCATATCTTGCCTCAAAACGATGCAGAGAAACTAGTCCATGCATTTGTTACTTCAAGGCTGGATTATTGTAACTCCTTATTATCAGGGTGTACCAAGAAGTCAGTCAAGTCGCTTCAGCTGATTCAAAATGCTGCAGCTCGTGTACTAACCAGAGTTAGGAAAAGGGACCACATTACTCCTGTCCTGGCTGCCTTACACTGGCTCCCTATAGAACACAGGATAGAATTAAAAATTCTTCTTCTCGCCTACAAAGCCTTTAATGGGCAGGCGCCATCTTACCTTAAAGAACTCATTATACCCTACTGTCCTACTAGGGCATTGCGTTCCAAGAATGTAGGGTTGTTGGTTGTTCCTAGAGTCTCTAAAAGTACAATGGGAGCCAGAGCCTTTTCTTATCAAGCTCCACTTTTGTGGAATCAGCTTCCAGTTTGTGTTCGGGCGGCAGACACCCTATCCATTTTTAAGAGTGCGCTTAAGACCTTCCTTTTTGATAAAGCTTATAGTTAGGGCTGATTAGATTCAGCCCCTAGTTTTGCTGATATAGGCTTAGTTTGTCGGGGGACATCTTACTTCTTCCTTCTCTCTGTCTATACCTGTGTACTCTCATGTTCCGATTAACCCAGCTTCCCCAAATTTCTTTCTTTTTGGTGTCTGTATACGCCGGGATCCGGAGTCATGGATGATCCTGCGGTCCTGTGTCATGGATCGCGAGTCCTGGATCATAAGTCCTGGATGGATATCTTCGTGGATTCATCTTCCTATTACACACACATGCATTTCCAAACATTTGGACTACCTATGTTGCAAATGTATTATCTTTTCAATTTACACACGGCATCTATTGCACGT